ATTTAAATTATCGTACTGACAAGGAATTTCCGAAAATGTATTTTAAACCAGAAAAAACTAGATGAGTACAAACGAACGTACTGTATTCGGAATACGTAATCAGCGGGAAATGAAGTAAAAAAGATTATTAGTTTACACAAATAACCTGCAAATCCTTCTTATTCAACGTAATTCCACTTCGTTTAGCTCTTAAAAAATATATATGTGAGTTTTTAGCTGTCCTATATTTAACTCCATTTGGATCGTATGAATGATTGTTGTTGAATTATGTACTTGTCACCTATCCTCTCACATAATCTACGTTAGTGAATGGCAGAATCTAATAAATCAAATACGAGAATGGATTATGAATGTGCATACTTCCTGCACTCATTGATCTGAACATGCAATTAGGAGGGCGAAACAAGGCGAAATAGGTGGAGCGCATTGGAAGAGTGTGAGCCGATTCTATTTAATCAACATTTATAGCCAGATAAAAATGAGCTACGAGCATGTGATGAGTAGGAAAAGATGTTTACACACATATGCTCATCTAAAAAAGAATAAATAAGCCAATAAGTAGCAAGGTAAAAATGTTGTTAAAGAAGACTGAATAAATTCGCTTGTCCGGAAGCTAGAATAAACTATGTGGTTTAACTTAGTACATGACGTTACATTGTTCTTCACAAGTTTTCATTTTTGGTGTGCCAAGATATAAACATTTTGAAATTACTGCATGCATTTCTCGATCAGGAGCTGCTATTTTATTTTTTATTTTCCCTCAAGGTTATCAGTACTTGACGAACCTTCACTATTGCCTTGGCGACCTTCGGTGCACGATGATCAAATCAACGTCGCATTGACTATGATGGTAAATTAATGCAGTGTTATCGGTTCTCAAACGCAACACTCTTGAGGACGAACTGACGATAACAGAGATTTACATACTATGGTAAATAACATAAGAGTCAGAACTAGTGAACATGGGAACGCTTATTCAATGTTGCAGGGACCAGTCACTTAGGTATGGTCAATGTGTAACCTGATACTCCTCATATTAAGCATATTGATCCATCCTTAGTTCAAATATGTCCTTCATAAGTGCTAAAATTTTGACTGACGTCTGTCACAATAAAATAAGTCAGTATATAAAATGATGCGATTTCCACTTAAGGTCCTATAGATTAGGTGGCCACGTCATGGTGAATCTGCATTCTTCGGATAAGGTCTACCATTCCAGTCGCAAAGGTAAATGCAACTCATACAGCTGAGCATATTCCAACACTTTCAACTTGCCGTTCGAAAATTATCACGTTCCTGGTACACGACAGCTTATCTGACTATTTATCATTTATAAGTCTCTTTCCAACGCAGTAAAAAGTTTCGAGAAGAACCCACTCTAAAATTATTAATCTGCTGATAATTGTGAGTTGAAAAACAAAAGTACACAACCGGAGTAATTAGACGTGTATACCTTCGTTTATCAAAGGCTTTAAAGGTGGCCAATCATTTAAGTCTCGTCACTGAGCTCAGAATATTAGAATTCATGCAACTACTAACAGATTGGTATAAGTCATCTGAAAAACCGACTTTTCAATGCCAATGTGAGCATTACTTTTTTCAGGCTACAGAATGTCATAGGATATTAGGTTTGACCTCGAAAATGGGTGGATAACGATGCACTTAAAAATAAAGCAAAGTGAAAAGTAGACTATCTGAGACATAAAACTTGTATTACCCTTCTCCAGATGTGTAGCGAGCTACAAAATATTTGAGCGTCGCAGGTCCTTTGTTGTAAAGTCTGGCGCTAACTGGCCAATTTCCTTCAAAGCAAACTGTGTACTAGGAATACCTTTGTCAAATTTAACATTAAAAACTTATAAATATTCTAGAACAGCATTATTTGTTTTTATTTAAATACGGAAATATAGTATTTCCTCCACTCACTGCAAGACGATAGGAATTATTATCAAACCACTAAATAAATTCCAGCAAACAAATTCAAATTTTATGAAAAACGCCTTAAATCGCTTGATCCTATCCACTAGAGTCTGTAGTACCCAGAAGTAATTTGTAATTGACCTATTACACTATCAGTAATGCTAGGAATCTTTTAAAAGTTCAATCCTACACAAATTTCAGTGCTAATATTTAAATGTCTGAATCACAATATAGCAAATCAGTTGTGTACATACCTGCTCTTTACAGACAAACAAATTTTGAAATTATCCACCGTATGAAGTTATTCATAAGAGTTCCTGAGTGTTCGTCAGAGGAAACTTGATGCATTCTCAAGGACTGATGATATTATTTAACCACAATTCACTAATATTTCACTTCCACTCTTTTAATATTTCCAGGTCCATTCCTGAAGGCTTCAGTGATTTGATGCTTTTAGGTACAGAAGTCATTAAGGCTAAAGCTTCAATCTCGGTCACAACAACATAATCCGTTAGAACTGTCTCGGTTTCACTCATATCCTGATCCTAGGGGACTTCAATCTCCCTAGAGTCAACTTCGCGGAACATACGTATATTGGAGGTGAAAATTCAATCGAAGCTCGGTTCTTCAACCTCATTGAGGACTTGGGACTACACGAAAATGTGAAGTTGGCTACTCGTTGGAGGAACGGTCAGACACCGTCGCGCTTAGACTGTGTTTTTACAAATGAAGAATTTCTAGTCGACAACCTCTCAATTCTGGCTCCCCTGGGAAAAAGCGATCACGCCGTTATAGCCTTCAGTTTCGTCAGCAAAACAGAGCTAAGATATCCCGACAACAACAGGCGCTGGAACTTCAAACGGTTGAATGCGTCAGCTCTACAGGACTATCTACAACAGGTGGATTGAAATGTTCACCCTCAACTTGATGTGGATGCTCATTGGGACTTCTTACTGCACACGCTCTCATGTGCTACTAAGCAGTCAGTTCCTCAAACGGTCCCCAAAAGGCACAAGCAACCTACAATCACCAAAAAACGCACTCTTCGTTTGCTATGCCGTAAAAGGCACTGTTCGGCAGAATACAAACGAACCAACAACAACGGCGAGTACAAGCAATACAAACATAAGGAACATATGTACGAAGGCTATAAGAGAAGACAGGCTTCAGTACCAGTTAAAGCTTATGGATAAATTTATTTCCAATCCGAAAAGCTTATTCCATTACGCAGCCTCTCTTCGTCAAGCCAAAACTGGAGTTTCTCAACTGCTAGGCCCTAACGGCCCGACAGATAATGACGGTGACGCCGCTAACCTTCTGGGTGAGCAATACTCTCAGACATTTCAGCCGACCCACATCAACTATACTGATGTCGGCTCTGTCTGCAACTGCACAGGACTTTCCGTAGTGAAACTGAGCGCTGACTTGGTGTTCCGTAAACTACAACATTTAAGAACAGACACTTCTCCTGGTCCAGATATGGTCCACTCTGCTATACTGAGGGAAGCAGCTTCAATCCTGGCAACACCGCTTAGCGTGATGTTCTCACACTCGCTAAGTCGGGGCAAACTACCGGATATTTGGAAGCTGGCTCATATCACACCAATCTTCAAAGGAGGTTGACGCAGTGAACCTTCAAGTTACCGACCGGTTGTCCTTCTCTCTATACCTTCAAAGATCATGGAGTCCCTGGTATACGATGATATACATGACTATCTGCTGTCCTTAAATTCCTTCTCACCCCAACAGCATGGTTTCAGGAAGGGTTATTCCTGTATGACGAACCTGCTGACCGCGGTGGACAGATGGACAAGCATCGTTGATCGCAAGGGGAAGGTAGACATTATTTACCTTGATTTCTCTAAAGCTTTTGATAGGGTTAACCACACATGTCTTATTAACAAACTCAAACAATTGGGTATCAAACCACCTTTAATTGACTGGCTCAGTTCATATCTCACAAATCGACATTTTAAGGTCAGGGTAAACTTCAATTTCTCACGCGCTATGGAATGTTCTAGTGGGGTTCCCCAGGGCTCAGTACTAGGACCTCTCCTCTTCCTGATTTATATAAATGATCTTCCTCAACAGGTAACGTCAGACATACTGCTCTTTGCCGATGACGTGAAACTTTGGAGAGAGATACGCAATCAAGAGGACATACAGGCACTTCAGGAGGAACTGACTTCAAAGTTGGGCAAACGATAACGGACTTACCTTTAACACTTCAAAGTGTAAAGTAGTCCATCTGAGACACGTTGCAGATTACAGCTACAACTTGTGAAACTCCTCTCTAGTAGTACCTTGAGTCGAAAAAGATTTAGGAGTTCTGGTGCCCTACGACTTAAAGTCTTACGCTAACTGTGACAAAAATGCCTTTCGAGCAAACCTTGCACTGGTAACGTTGAAGCGCATTATTGGCCAGTTTGACTAGAGAACTTTCCACATAATCTTCAACAGTTTCATTCGTCCCCATTTAGGGCACGGAAACATAGTATTCCCTCCTACACTCCAAAAAGATAAGGACGTTCTGGAGCGTATCCAACGGCGAGCCACGAAATCAGTGCGGGGACTCAAATTTAAACCTTACGATGAGCGCCTCCAATCACTAGACCTTTACCCATTAGAGTATAGGCGTCTTAGAGGTGACCTTCCAATGGCTTACAGTATCCTTAACACACCTGGACACCCTCTTAAACATCTACTTAAGCTTAGTCCCAACACTAACCTAAGGGGTAACACCCAGAAACTGGAGATACAACATAGTAGAACGGACTGCAGACACAATTTCTACTCCTTAAGAGTTGTCAAATGCTGGAATTCGCTGCCAGCTTAGCTAGTCCAAGAAACTTCCCAGGAGTCCTTTAAGAGGCGACTTGATCTATTCTTAAGGACTAAGGATAGTATCCTACTATGATTTACCAATTCATTTTCTTTCTCTTTTATCGTTAATATACGCAGGTTCTTGCCTGAAGGTATTGGTGATCCCCTGCTACTAGACACGGAAGCCTGTTAAGCGAAAGCTTCTTCTATTCCGTCCGCAACCATTTGAACCATTTGAACTTGGACATTGAAGAACACGAGGTCACTTGATGCGTTTATACAGTTTTCGTGTTACACGATGAAACGTCAGCCTCCTAGTGTGATAGTCGAAACGTCTAAATCTAAGATGTATGTTTTGCTATCTGCAGCAACATTTTCAAATATATCGTTGGTTCCAATGAAGGTTTTATTTGGAGACAGTGTTAATATTTATATGTCTCAGTATACAAGTATATTTAAATTATTTATACATCATATAGGGCAATATATCCTTCAAAAAATGTGAATAGTTTATAAAAACGAACACTTTTAGAGAAGTTTAGTACAAATCGATAGAAAATCTAGTACTATTTCGCTGAAACTTTTACTTTAAATTGCAATAATGCAATAATAATAATTTTATCGTGTTTTCACCGTAATATAAACCGGACTTTCCACACTTTATCCAAATTTCTACCTAATCAGTCCACAAATAATTATCCCCTATTAAGTTAAATGTCACTCGTATTCATCTTGGCTTTCATAGCGGAGTCAACCTTTGTACGCAGTTGATCTAATCTATAAAATTGTTACTCGTGTTAGATATTTATTTTCAGAATATTTGATCACGGTTCAACAATAGCAACAAAATTGCGTTATCGATAACATCTGCATTGGAAAACACAAGTGTTGTGAATCTAGACTGAATTCAGTCTAGATTCTTAAGATTTAAATCTTAAGGTTTCGTGTTTACGAAAGTTTGCCAGTTAATCTATGGTTTATTTGAAATCATATAAATTGTCCCCACTTACATCATATATGTCCCAACTCAATGTATTCAAGCAAGAAAGCTTCATATGTTTTAAAAAGCAATTTATGAGGGAAGTATGAATACGGTGTAAAAAAAATTTGAAATACACCGTTTAGTTCATACTTCTACTTCGTCAGTGAAGATCTGGATTATCATTCATTCAATCCTGAGATTTAATAATGACCAGCATTTGTGGTGGAGTTTTCTGCAATCCGTTTTTTACTGATATACGATAACATAAAGTCAGGCTTACAGCGATGGTCAACAAAATTCTACACCGTCTCTATGGAACGGAAGAAAAACTAGCTATGAAGCATATTTCATTATCTTTCCCTCCATGATAACGCATACTATGCTTATCTTTCATTCCACAATAAAGCACCAATCTTTAGAAGGCATCACAAATAAATCGCTTATGTGCTCATGACTAAGTACGGAACACTTCAATATGCTTATGTCACTAGAATCGTTGAGTTCAGTGAAAAAATCACCAAAGTCAATGGGAGATCTAAATTTGTTTCATCCATTATCATCTATATAAGTAATTAGTTCACGCTTGCCTTGGCCTATTTCTATATTCTCCAGCTTAAATTGAGTGGATTTAACATCCCTCACGTAACAACCTGTTTTATAAAATCAGAGGTAACTAGAGTGCCTGTCGTAGGCAAACAGTAGACTTGGGTGTAAATGTTAGGACGTTTCCCCTCCCAGGAAGACATTTAGAAGAAATGTCTCACTATTCCTCCATGGTGGGCAACAAAACAAACTATATGTCACGTTCCCCTTTGTCTACACAATTTTTCTTTCAAGAATGTCACTATTCTCTTGTTTGCTTGAAAAGTCATCTGTTTACTGTTGAATGCAGTGAGTACAATTATGTTAGTAGTTATACAACTTTTATTTGGTTGTTTGGATAATATTCTTACTCTTAATAATTATGGTCATGATGAATTTCTAAAAAATACTTATAATCTTTAATAATATTTTGACAGTGAAGTTAACAAATTACGATTCTTGTCCTTTCCCCTCTTCTTGGTCCATAATGGTTGTTCCTCTTATAGAGCGAAAAATGTTTCATCTGGTGAATTTGTGAATTACTGTTAGTTAAAAGTAATCAGCCTGCAAGAACAACACTATGAACTGCCTTAGTTTTAAGATCGTGTCTTTATTTATCACTAGTCCATGTTATGGTGTAAGTTTACCTTAGACTATTTAATTGTAAGCTTTTGCCCATCAAAACCTTTATAGAACTGAACTTAAATGTTGAATAAATGCTCAGACGACTTGTGGGTTTGTTTTGAACCATACAGTTTGGTATTTTTCAGTGAGACTTCCATTTTTTAACGTCTACCGCTACTTTTCTTATAAGTTTGCTAAAGCCTTTGAAACAATCTTAGTTCTGTATAGTATGAATAGTTCTCCGCTAAAAGTGTATTGACGTGTCCTAGAAGTAACAACGTACTATTATTAGTTATTTAGATTGTACACCAATTATTTCATTTTGCGTCAATCTTCTTTCTTTTAGGCGCCAAACGACCTTGGTCCCCACCGAGAATCTTTCACAGTCAATAAATGAAGAATTGTGGGAAAATACCGTCTCTCTGCTAGTATATACACATCCCAAGTGTGAACCCAGCAGCAAAGTAATGCTTTAGGCTAGAAACAAATATGTATTACAATTAGATTTTGGGCTTAGATATGGACGGAACAATCATTGTTCCATCTTCAGGAAAAGTTTTTCCAAAAGACTACAAAGATTGGAAGTAAGATTTATTTTATTCACTAACTTATCATTTTAGATTGATCAACGACAATGTTATCCCTAAGCTCAAGGAATATTTTGATAGAGGATATAAAATTGTGCTGTTCTCTAATCAAGTACCCGCTTTTTATATTGCGTTACATTCTAAAATCACCTCTCTAGAAAGGTATAACAAAAGGCTACCAAGATATACCTAGTTTCAAGTTAAAAATACAAAATATTGTGGATAAATTAAACATGCCAATCCAAGTAATGAAAGATACATTTGACCATATGTAGTGCAATCTAGGGTTTGTTTTCTATCTTGGATGATAGAAACCGCAAACCTCTCACCGGAATGTGGGATTTTCTTAATGACAAAGGTAATGCTGGAATCCCGATTGATTTGCCCGCATCCTTGTATTGTGGCGGTAAGTTATCATTCGTATTCACTTTACAATTGCAATATCAGGAAAACATTTTTATTTTAATCTTCTACGAGGTAATTAGTTGGGGAAATTTTTATTTATTATTTATGTCAAAAATTGATCTTTTAAATAATACTAACATGTCTAAATGTTTGTGAAAATTAAACCAATATAACATTGCAGAACCCCGCACAAAAATTCAGTGGTACATATTGTTTGAGGATGCACAGACTAACGAGGGATATTTTTATGTTCATACGAAGTTCATTAGTACATATGTCCTATTGTAGTGGAGTTTTAGTTGTCATTTAAAGTTTTCAGTTACTTACCCTAACATTTTGTGTACCTTCGTCTAGATACACATAATTCTTTTCATATCTCAAATTATTATCTGTGACTTTATAAATATATATAATATCTTAGTCCAAGCACCTATAGCTTTTTTCACATATTAACGCTGCTTCATTACGTATGGGTAGGTGGTTTGACCTACTCCCTAACTACAGGTCCGTTTATGTGACTTCAAGCTGCACTTCAGGTGTAAGCACAAACCGAAATAGTTTCTTTGAGATTCAAATCTGAAACTTCATTGACTAAAAGCGATGTGCACGCATAATTTACTTTAATTAGAGCTTAGTGGTAGCGTCCCGCTCTAACCAAAGCGCGTGGAGTACAATTTGAACCTTCGGTGTAACTAAAACGTCTTCGGTCATCAAGCTATCACTCTACATTTTTTAACACTAATCAGGAACCTATAACTGGTTCCTTCTGTTATTTTATAAGTCGAATAACTATTTCTTTTTCAATTTTTTTTTACCTGACTTAGTATTATTTACCACTTATTTTTCCCTGGCTTTTTTTCTCATCAATTTAGATTTGTTACATAATATAATCGGTTATAAAAACATTCACCGAAATTCGAACTAGCAGTGCTAAGGAAATTGGGCATCAAGAATGTGGAAGACATTCAGTGTAAAGCTAGTATTTTAATTGATCAGAATTTTAAGGTCAATTATCGGCTCAGACAAAACTGTTGGGTAATTTGTAGTTATTAAAATTTCAATAGCTGTAAGCTTTGGTCAGCTAATATTAGTTACATATCTACAAAAAGCCGCAAAATTTAAACAAGCTTATATAATTAGTATGATCATTTAGTGTAACATAGTTTCTTATCCATGTAGGTTTTATGTTTTTATCAACATCACGAATTAGTACTGTCTTGTGTTAGCCGATTTTAAAACCTATGTCTATTCGACTATGATCTAACACTTCACAAGTTTGATCTCATAAGGATAGAGCATAAGCACGGAAAAGCATTTGTCTATTAACTCTTAACCCTTCGTTGTAATCGTCACCTAACGGCCATAGCATCCGACTTTCAATTGTTAGGCCCTAGGTCCGAACACTGCCTCACTTACTGCGATATAGACAACCGGATAGCATTTCTTGCTACCATACACAAAAATGGGCGATTCGAACCCGACAACATAGTAATCTGTAATTACTAAATGAGTCATACTAGTTATTCCTAAAATCGATTTTAAGCTTACAACTGATCATCAGAAAAAGCAACCGTTCCTCGTTAACAAATAAATGCACAAATGATATTAATGTTTAAAGTCAACTTATTTACACGTAGTCCATTCTATTTTCCCTTAGTAATTAGAGCAAAAATTATTCGGAATGTAAGCTCTGATTATTCTTTTTCACACAGCGTATGTATTCTGTAATGGATTCATTAATCGTACGAATTCGTTTTCTTTGTTTGCCCTGTTAAAATTAACGGTTCTATTTACACTCCGTTTGGTTTATGAATAGCCTCCAAGTATCAAAATGCCTCACCCTTAGTATATTTGATAAAATCAATTTATATTACTTTTCAAAGTTGTAAGTAGATTATTTATATTTACTTAATTGTCTCATCTGTCAGAAAGATCGTCTATTAACTTAAATGAAAATAGTTCTGATCATCATCAACAAGTTGTCTTATGTGAGACATTTATCAAAAAGCAACTTCTGTATATTCTTACTAACGTAAGAGTTATATAAGGACGAAGCAATTGACTTCATAGGTAATTTGACATTGAAAATAGTGACATGGTTTCTGCCACTAAATTCAATTAATTCTACGAAGCAGATATCTTTAAGTTTTGTATGCTCGGAAATTGAATGTCTAACTATTGTATGGTATTACTATTCTCAGAAGAGTGTTGTTCACCTAATTATGGACAAGGAGATAACCCCAGAAATACCCGAGACTAGTATACGCTGCTTTCTCTGAATGAAAATAAGACTTTTCTTCACTTCACATCACTAAAATGTCTACCTACATAAATGAATTTACCAACTATCTTCATTGGTTCATCAATAGCAGTGACTTCGAACGCAGGCATTTTAAAATCTAACTTTATTCTAATTCTAAACGGTTCAAATCATAAACACACGTAAACATAATCTTCTTACTAACTGAGTTCGATGTATAATATAGTCTGTATTGTATCACAATTACACGATATCGTCTGGTTATTCCTAATCAAAAAACATTTCACCAAATAACATATCTACAACACAACCGCACATTTTCATTAAATCTGTTTCCAAAAATACATCAACGACGAAAATTGGGACTATAAAATACAGTTATCATTTATTGAAGCCCCATTTTGATTCTCTTTTCATTAGTTCTTCATATCTGTTTGGGGTTTAAGCGATGTACCAAGCTTATCTGAACTGTCTAACCAACTAATTTGTAAGTATTGGATCTGCTTATTATCCTCTTTCTAACAATAGTTTACTAGGTTACGAAACATCAAAGATTCAATTTTCTAATGACTCTAATTTTACAAATATTTTATCGTACTTGTCACTAACAATTTGCCCCTTGTTTTTTTTGATTGATTACTTAGTGACTGTAGCTAAAAACTTATTAATTTTTAGACTAATAATGTATTGTTTACTACTAATTTTTAACAGATGCTGCTGGTCGTCCAGCTTCTGGAAAACGTAAGAAAGATCATTCATGTGCTGATCGTTTAGTAAGTTGATTGTGTTTTCATTTGGTCATTTTCTATTTGTTCGTAAATATGCAATTCGACAAGAAAAAGGTGGTTACAATTTTGAAATTTTCCTATGAATATGTCCCAAAAAGCCTTCGAACAAGAGGAAGAAATATTTTAAATAACGCAATCACTAAACATTTCTTAGACACAGAACTTCAGGTCGATGCCGTGCAATATTTCAAGGTGATTAATAAACATCCAAGCTCCAGTCTTCTGAAGTTTGCAGAAACTCTTGCTACCAAGCGTCAAAAACCTGATTTATGTGTTCAAAATGAGATGATCGTTAGTCTCTCTTTGACTTGATAACAAATAATTCTTCATTACATCATCAAATTTTGTTTAACTCTTTCCTTCAATTAATTACATCACTGCGTCTTTTTATTTCGACTGAACGGAAAAAAGAATTCATGTTATTCCGCCCAATTCTCTGTTCTTACTTTCTTCAAGAATTCTATAACAGTTGAAATAAAAACCTTATGTACAGTAGATTGTTTTACGTCAATGGTACCTAGGAGAAAATAATACTGTTTGTTTACTTGTATTAAAAAGAAAACAATCGAAAAATACAAATTATTTTGATAATGTCTGTGTGCTCAAAGGTCAAGTGGTTATTTGGAAACTTCTATGAATCTATTATATAAAGTGTCTGTAACAAGTGGAATTTAGTTTAGGAGATACATTGTCTTGATGTTTTATATTTCTTTTTTTAATATAAATATTGTTCTGAAGGAAATTTCTTTCAATATATCAGGTATCATTTTCCTAACAATATAGCTTTTGGATATATATATATATATATATATATATATATATATATATATATATATATATATATATACTATCTACCTTAACGTCCAGATGTTCACTCCGTAAGCATAACTTTAGCAAACTAACAAATCTGAAGATTTATAGCTTAAATGTCGGGTTATTGAAGGTAACCGATATTAAAATTTGAATCTAATTTTGATGCTAGCAAGACGTGCTTCCAGTCTTGAGGGTTTCAATCTTTCTATGGGATTTAAGCTCACATCACCCAACTTTACAGTCTGAGACACTACCACTGAGCTATTCAGATCCTCAATAACCTCCTACAGGACTTAAGTATGTACAAAAATTGATGATTGAGTAGTGACTTATATCTTTTAGTGTTGATCGAATTCTGTTGATCAAGTGGTCACTTGTCTTAAGGACTCTATATAGTGCACACTATGTTCAGATGTTAAAGGGTTGAAAGTAGTCGATAGGTAACCCTGGACGTAGACAAACTTGACATCGATTGTGATTCAGTGATCAACCAGTGTTAAGTTACAAGTATTAGTCGTCATATCTAATGGTAATTACTCTTAATTCTCTAAAAACAAAAATACAGTAAGTATATTCCAACAGTGTTATAAAATTTTGATGTGAATTAGTATTATTCCGTTTAAACACGATTTTATCCTGTCCCTCTCTGTTTTTTCGTCTCATCCTATTACTTCTATCCACATTTTACATAGTTTGCCCAAAATGTTGGAATTCGCTTTCTAACACCAGAACAACTATGGTTTGACCAATTAGATACAGAGAAATTTGAGATGCCTAAATTCAATCCAACTGAATTGTTAACTAATCACGATGTACAAAATAGTGAATTGCCAATAATTGATCGACCAAACAAATCAGAGCTTATTTTAATGGTAGGATATCCTGCGTGTAAGTAATGATTATGATATTGTTTACCTTGGCTTTCTTTAAGTGGACAATTTTTCACTGATTTCTATCACGAAATAAATTGCGAGTTTAACCTTAGTTCTGGGTTCAAGACAGTCCATGCCTGAAGCTTCAAGGTCTCATCATAAGTACAATATTTTTAAGGCACTAATTCAAAATCCAACGATTAATACTTTTATCTCTAATCACCACACAATGCAATAATAGATACTTATCCATTAGTTAGTCTCCCTGTCTAGAAATTTGAGAGGTCTTAGAAAGTAATCAATAGTGAGCACAGTATTATTATCTTACTATTAAGATTTACTGCTCAGGTTCATGGTTTCGGTGATGTGTTCTCTCAGATTAGTTATTTAATTACGGAGATTTCATGGACATGAGTTAGACTGGACAAACGTCTAAAATCTGTATCGGGAAACCCTAAGAATGCCAGAAAATTTCTGGGACCATGTCAGTCAGGTCAATCGATAATCAATAGACACATTGACGTAGATTCAATCTATGAACGCATGCAGAAAACTCTATCAATCACAGTGTCTAAAACTAATCTAACAACAGTAAATGGAAAAATAAGAATGAACAGAGACAAAAGACCTATGAAAACAACCAGTTACAAAAAAGGCCATCATAACGAACTAATTCAACACTGGTGGAATAATTGAAAAGCTACTTTATGTAAATAAAGTAGACGCTGAATATGTTGTTCAAAATGACAATGAAAACTTCACAGTTAAAGTATTTTATAGCTGCAAGAACACAACATTTGGGATGGTATTCCCTCTACATTTTTGCATTTATATATATTCTATATGTATTGTCTTGATTTCTAGTTTTAATTTACCCGCTGATTTGTGGATTAATTGTTATTGTTGGTTTTTTGTTTTTCTCTTTGATTTTCTTCTACACGTTCTAGCTGGTAAATCGCACTTTTGTAGTCGAGTGTTGGCACCGTTAGGTTATGAAGTAATTAGTAGGGTAGGTGTTACAGTGTGCTTTCTTTCTGGTTCAAGTTATGTTTTGTGAATTGTCTACTTATTCATTGCATCATCTGATCTATCCATATATATATGATAGTCGTAAATAAAAAGTAGCATAGGAAATATGTAGACATGCGTAAATAGCCTGTTTTCACCTTATAAATTGTGTTTTTGTTTGTTTTTGATAAAGATGATAGTGATGTTTATTTGATTCATTTTCAATCCCACCATTTATGTGTAGATTCACAATTAATTAGAAAAATAATTCCAAATTTTCTGTATAAACATACAGTTTATTATCATGTTTTCACTTACTAACAACGTAAACAAACCTTGAAATATATTTTTTATCGATGTTATATATGTGTACTTTCTAGATTTGTTATTTTATCCCTATATATTCAACGTTTACGTCGTAATTTCATAGCTCAGTTTATCTGTTTATTGTTTTAGTTCATAGAGTAATACCACCAACATTCTTGCACTACTTATAACTTCACAAACCTAATATTCAAAATCACTCATTTTTATCTAAAATGAATTATTTCTGAATGACTTGAAACAGTTTTGTTTAGCGATCCAGTTATAAAGCAATAGCTTTATTAAGTCAAGATTATTTTGTTTCTTGAAAGTTACTAACCCCCTAGCAAAATACAACTAAGCATGTAGAAAACGTAAAATGCTAAGCTTGTCTTGCAATTTGTTTAATCTGTTCGAATTCAGAGCGTAAATTTAGTTGCATCGAATAAATGTTAATAAAAGACTATGATTATTCAAATAAAAAATAGAAACAATAACTTTACAAAAATTACAGCATGAACCGACCTTAGTTAAACAATTAATTATAAATCAGGAAGCACGAAATAGTTACTTAGTCCTAGTATAATGAACGTACTTTCAGGTGGGAAGACCGATTTATTATTTAGTGCAAAATTGCAGTATCTTCGTAAATTATGAAAACTAAACATTAAGTACTTCAGTTGCACATCTTCCATCAGTTGTCCTTTACATCTTTCATGATTCTTCTAATTCTCAATCCCTGTATATCTCCCTTTCTGTCTTCTCAACCTTCTGACAGGCATTCCACTTCTGATCGGTGTTACATAGTAATTATATCTGTCAATATGAGTAGCATACACTGCATAGTATCAGACTCTTGAACTATGCATATTCACAATGCCATCGGGGTCGAGCCAAGAAGCTTCAGATCCCGCGGTGAGTGCTTAAACTTCAAACACTAGGTCTCCATCAAGTGGTTTACATTCCTAATTTCAATAGACTGCTTGCCACAACTAAAGATCCGGAATTCTATCTCCGATAGGATTGTAGATGCCAATTTCTGAGGAGTCCCACACTAGGACAAAATAGCCATCTAGTGCTCCCTGACTTTCAATGATTGTTTAACCAAGTTCAGCTCATGTTTTAAACTATGAAATGCAATAATCTTCAGAGACTCATAACATTAAGAATACTTTTTTTCAAGTTGATCTGCATCAGAACACTTATTCACATGCATTCAAACTTAGAAAGGACGCATTCGGAAAAAGCATTGAGTCGGCATCCAATAGTTCAGATGTCAATTTGCGATATTGCACAATCCTCTTCCATTACCTGAGATGAATAACTGTTTCTCACTCGATACTGATATAAACTATGGAAATTCAACAATCTTCACAAGTCACCTACATTAATGAAAATAATATATATTGACCGACTGTTAATAAAGGTATTTTATTAACTATATATAAACATTTTCCTATACCAATAGACTGGTCATAATAAGATAGATGAATAGGTAAATTTTTTAATCTCGTGATTTCATATGCATGATACCCGAATATGAATGAGTGTTTAAATATTCCATATTGCCATTTTTATTATTCAATGTTATAGTAATTACCACAAAAATTAATAAATGTTTCATAACGGTTTTTGTGTGATTTTCAACATCATCAATGTATTTGTGTGTACAGTGTATGTTAATGATGCCTGTTTCCTTTAATGCTGCCGGATACACACTATAACATTCCTTCATTATCATAGTAATAGTCTCCTTGAATCTCTTCTATTCTCTCTTTACTACTTAATTACAAATCTCCTTTTGTTGACGTATATTTGTATATATGTGTGTATATGATAATGATGATGGTGGTGTTGTTATTGTTGTAATCCTGAGAAACTACCCAATTAAAGTCATGAATAAAATTTATGGATTGGGAAAAATTCCCAGTTCTTTTGGTTTCTTTATTCCTCGTGCTTAGTCGTTCCTTTCTCTGTCTCTTTCTGCGCACCGCGTGTGTGTACATACATAAAATGTAAATAAAATTAATTAACGTAACTTTTTCTCTTGAAATTGTACTAAAAACGTTTTTTGAAAAATTTATGTTTAAATTCCACTTCTTAAATGGTTTAACCTTCAATTACCATTTTTCCAAAAATTCAAATTGAATATAATAATATTCCCTGTTTTAATCAATGTACTACTGTTCTTTAATGTATTTCTTCAAAGTATTCTTTTAGAGATCAAATTGTAGAGCTATAAATTTTGAAAGCATTTTGACTTTTAATCAATAGATTGTAAAGTTGAACCTCGCTCCCTCTACTTCTAATACAATCAAACATATTAATCTAGCTAAGTACATTAAGGATTAGATAGTTAGCATAAATCTATTATAGGGAAAATTTCATTTAGACATTTAGTAAAAGAGCGAATGTCTTGGCCACGCTGAAGAAAAAAAGCTTATTTTACTGTGTCCACTGCCTCAGTTATTAAATGGTATTTTGCCATCATTTGCGACAACACCTTAATGTCTTTATTTTGATTCAACATGAGAATAAAGGTGTTCATCATTTAAAGGTATGTATATAACACTTCCTAGTTTTCAGTGGTTTTCTAACCTGACAACTTTCTGTGATAAAAATTTTCATCTTTAAAGTAACTGAATTTCTATAAGCTTTTTAAATAAATAATTGGTTTTTTTCTTATGCTTTACACTGCAGGATAATGTTGGTACATGGCAAAAATGTGTACAAGCTGTTGAACAAGCTATATCTAAAAGTCTTCCAGTTGTAGTCGACAATACAAATATGGATTTAGAGTCACGATCACGTTATATTAAAATTGCTAAAGTATGGGATATACCAGTGAAATGTTTTATCATGGAGACATCTATGGAACATGCTCAACATAATGAACGTGTAAGACTATTCAGTTATTTGGGTTTTTTATGTAAATGATTGTGGCGAAGGCAAGATATCCGTCTTCCAATCAAAAGACGAGTTTACTCAGCAACAGTCTGCTCCGTTCTACTTTATTGATGTGAAACATGGCCATTATGAATCGAGGATATTCGTAGGTTACTGATTTTCGATCGTAGGTGTCTCCGAAAACTAGAAGACTTATCAGTTAAAACGTTTTTACGTCTTTATTTCACTAATTTATGTTTTATCCCCGAATTGTGTTTTCAGTGCTTGATAGTGCAACTACCTCTTCTATTGTGGGACTTGGGTTGACAATTTCATCTCTCTGTGCTAATGAGATATTGCAATTTTAACCGAAGTACATAAGTACCTGTTTCTACGTTATGACTTACTGATAAACGATTGACAAGTAAATAAGTATCAAAAATAGAGTTAAGGGAATTTTCATCTATTGTGATTACTTTTGATTGTGTTTTATTCTCATTAGAACCTTCAAATATGTAGATGGTCACGTAAATGAATCATTAAGTTATAGAGTTTACCATTGGGATCACTTTCCTTCAACAACACTAACAGATTTCCCCTTAGCAATCGTGCCCACTAATGATACTGAGACTGATTGGTTTACGTATAAGACTATTCAGTTATCTGGGTTTTTTATGTAAATGATTGTGGCGTAGGCAAGATATCCGTCTTCCAATCAAAAGACGAGTTTACTCAGCAACAGTCTGCTCCGTTCTACTTTATTGATGTGAAACATGGCCATTATGAATCGAGGATATTCGTAGGTTACTGATTTTCGATCGTAGGTGTCTCCGAAAACTAGAAGACTTATCAGTTAAAACGTTTTTACGTCTTTATTTCACTAATTTATGTTTTATCCCCGAATTGTGTTTTCAGTGCTTGATAGTGCAACTACCTCTTCTATTGTGGGACTTGGGTTGACAATTTCATCTCTCTGTGCTAATGAGATATTGCAATTTTAACCGAAGTACATAAGTACCTGTTTCTACGTTATGACTTACTGATAAACGATTGACAAGTAAATAAGTATCAAAAATAGAGTTAAGGGAATTTTCATCTATTGTGATTACTTTTGATTGTGTTTTATTCTCATTAGAACCTTCAAATATGTAGATGGTCACGTAAATGAATCATTAAGTTATAGAGTTTACCATTGGGATCACTTTCCTTCAACAACACTAACAGATTTCCCCTTATCAATCGTGCCCACTAATGATACTGAGACTGATTGGTTTACGTAACTTTTTTTTGCCCCCAGCCAGCTCAAAATACAAGAAAAACTAATGGATTTACATCCCACTATTATATTGTTTCATGATGGCATAAAGCAGTTACAAGGCCAAGCACATCGTAAATGGGAAATTACAGTGTATTACTAGATTATTTGTGGTGGAAAGTTTTTGAATTATTTAGCTACATAGCTTTAATTGTCATTCTGGATAACGTCATCACAGCCCTCACATGCACAATGTGGTTCAGAGTTGAGTACACGAATTTGTATTTGTTAAATGAATTTCATCAAAATAAATCATAACGTATAGTGGCAAACTGTCGATGGTTTTTCAAATATTACATTTATCTGAAATATACAATTAATGCTAGTTTTCACGTCCTCTTTACATTATTTCTTTTGATTATTCCATAGTTTCGCGCTCTAACAAACTCATCGCATAAACCAATCAGTCAAATGGTTTACAACATGATGAAGCAAGTTTTTATCAAATTCATCTTTATCATTGGTTTCACTTAATCTAAACATTGTTTACACTAAAATTTGCAGATATTTTGAACTCTTAGTTGTTTTGTAAGGGACTTTCGATTAAGTGGCTATAACAGTGGACTACAGAAAGCTGAGTTGGTTGTTTGCCAGAGTTTTTTTTATTCCCACACTTGGGGAGAACTTTCACATAACTATCGTTCATTTTGTATCAAGGAATCCCTTACTAGAACGAAACAGTTATCTCTGATTTTCAATATATCTGAAATGAGATCAGTTTATATTAAATACAACTTATAAATTAAATTTCCATAAAACTCCTTTCAAGTAAACCGTCAATTAATTAAAAATGTTGACTTTCTGTGGAAAATTTAATTCATTTTACTAAAAATACATGTTATCACACCTTTATGCTATTCATTGAAATGAATGATATTTTATATTGTCTTTATGCTTGATCTAATGGATCTTAATGTGGTTTAGTCATTGAACATGGAATAAGTGTCCATCGTTCTTATTCCCTACAAAAATTCTAGTCCTATTTGAGATGGGTGCTCAATCGATACATCCCACATGTCCAAATTGTAAAGGTTTATCACATGTGAAACCTAAAATAGAATGTGTATCATCATTAATGTTTTCGCCAACCTAGAGGAATAACTGTGTTATTCAAGAAAATGCCACACGGGTAGTTGTTTAGACGTTATCACTGTCAATGGGAATAAGAGTGTTACTATCAGTAGCAACCTTTCCAGTAATTTTTTGTATATAGATCTTTCGAAGCATTGTTCATGTACAGTACAACCACTGATTGAGCAGTGGTAATTGACTAGCGTACAGTACTAACTAATGACTGTATGTTAGTTTACGATGTTTTAAACTTCCACGATCTGAAGCAATGAATGCATACGTGCATATCGCCTTCCTCAATAATCTATGCTCGATTACATAGTAGGTAGGTCTGAAAAATTCATTAATTTCAAGACAAAACAGAATGTCACTGATTACTGATCCTAATTGCGTTATGATTTATTTGTTTTCTGTTAAACATTAACAAGTTAATTGTTACCTGTAGTTGAATACTTCAAGTGATACAGCTCCCAAATTGATCTTATTGATTCAAACTAAACCACTGTATACTCATTTTTATCTTGTGCATTGTATCGTTTTTCCAATTGTTTTCCTCCTCAAATTTTTAATATTGTCAGCATTATAGTTTTACTTCTCATTACTAGATCCTCTTTTCAGTTCGATATGTATGAAATACTTGATTCAATATGCATTCATGTTCTTCTGTCTCCTACTTATTTATTATTGATTGCTTTAATCAAATAGGATACTTAGCAAAAAAAATATTATTTGAAAAAAAGAACAACAACCAACAATTATCACTTCTCCACCAAAAATGTATCTTTCATCCGATTATTTCGTGTTTCTTCTCTCATTTATACACAGATCAAAATATGAAAACCCAACTATAGAAGAAGGTTATCAAGAAATTGTAACTATTCCATTTATATTAGACAAGAATATGGAAAATCTTTCATTATATTGTAAATATTTATTAGAAAAGTAACTAACCGGATTCTATTTTTCATTTTTAAATAAAAATTTATTAACTAATCGATCAATATGTTATTACATTTTCTCTACTTCATGCAATATCCTACAGTGATATTTTACTTAAACTGTATCCTTTGATTGCCTCGTTTTATGTTGCAGATCACTGACCGACTGACTGTATCCCTTCATTATGCTATTGTTTTCATGATATGTTTACTCTGTAAATGTGAAAAAAAACCACTACAGATTTTTTTTTCCAATATTCATTTTGATATAAAATAAAATCTATATTTATTTTGATAAATCTGCGTTATTATTCTCATCGTTATTGTTTCTATTTGTTCAAGTTGGTTAATTTTTTTTCCATTATGTTCAAATGTTGCCTTCTGTCTGTGTGTGTTATGAGATTATTGGATTCTTTACTCGACTGAGTCTTATGATACTAATCATAGGCAATATTTCAGAGTATAATACTGACTGGAAGAAAGTTAGAAACATTCAAACTAAGCTGCTGTATCAATTCATGAAGTTATTAACTATTGATTTGAGCCTTATTGATAAGTAAAGCCTACCTAGTTGAAGTGAGAAGCTAATAATTATGATTAGTGACTAGAAATGTTAGTTAACATTACTCGAAATTTCTCATAGTAATCTAAATACATTCATTCTATATCCTTTTAGATTCCGAACTCCAGTATTATCTCACAATTCTTGCTCTATCAATTCATTTCTCTAAAACCATATTCTCTACACATCTGATCTTACTATCATTGATAATAAAACTACTCTATGTCATGCTGATTGCATCTCGTTGTATTAATATAGTGTAAAAACGTGAATGATTTAGACGCGTGCTCACCCATACGTTTATTGTCTGACTGATGACTCCAATAGTTTAAGCTCTTTAATTTTAATCATTAAGCCACTTGTTTAAAATATAACGTCTTCAACACTTCTTTATGGTTGTATATTGATAATCATTTTCATCCTATATTGTAATAAGATGAATAACTTATCTATTTAAGATTCTCTTCAATATTTACAGCTCTTCCATATTAAGTTCATTCTCTTTGAATCAGCATTAACATAATCATCCTCTCACTTACAAAATAAGAATAAGCCTTACAAAAACCAATACAAATTGAATTTTAATCTATTGTATGTATTATGATTTTTAATCTCAAAGGAAATCATTGACTTTTATAGAACTGAAAAACCATGAGATTAAAAGAAAAGAAACTGATTGATACTGTTTGATTTTCAGTACGATAAAACTACATGTATCAGGAATTTTCATATTTAGAAAGTGAAATACTTATTTTAGTCTAATTGAAGAATATCACTTTATAGTATAAAACACTACACATGTCTAGTTGATTCGTTCAAAACTTACGTATTCATAACTCTTTTAAGCCTCACAATAGACGACATTTTACCACTTAACTAAGCGTGATTATGTACTTAAATCTGTCAGTCACACTGTCGAATAGTTATCAATCTTGTGTTTTTCCCATAATGATACTACTAAGAAATAATGATTTACTCGCAGAAATTGTTAATCAGGTGAACAATTCAGTCGACATTTTTACTGTAAACATTAAAATTATAATAGTTATGACTGAACGAACATTAATCTAAAACATAAGGTTTTACCATTCAACAATCCTAGACAGCTAGTTCACTTATCTAAGAAGGTTCATCGATTCAGGTAAATTACTGACAAATTCTGGAAATGAAGAAAAACGGTTCATCTTAATTTTAAGATAATCAGAATGCTTACTGAATCTGAAATGAAATCTAATGGCTGCTAGTACTGAAATTATTTATATCTTTGGTATATTAATCGGATGTTGGGAAATCACTGTATAGACAAAGTTGAGGTTAGGCATAATTGTTCAAGATAGGAAAACAGGTGGGATGTCTTCACCACCTTTGTTGACTGAAATATTTATATGAAAAACAACCGGCAACTAGAATACACTGTTTGGTTGTACTTAAATTGAAAATTAAGGATGACCAAACTGACCTAGTACATCAGATTGAGAAATTACTAACTTCCGGTTCAACTGTGGTGTATGTTGCTTATGCCAACAGATATAAGTACTATGTAGAAGCGATCGGAAGTGGAATGCCTGCCAGCAGAAGATTGAATTGAAGAGAACAGGAAGGGAAACAGAGTAATTGGAAAAGTGACTAAATTGGAAGGGTCATGAAGTATATAAAAGACAACTGATGTGAGAATAATTTTTTAATGTGGTTTTCATAATTTTTGAAAGTACTGTGCAATAAACAATAAATCGATTTGCCCCACCTGAGTTCTCGTTCACTTCATAACCACTAGGCAATTTTAAGCTATCTGACTGACATTTTAGAAACCATTGGTAGTCTGTTATACTTAATTCAGGTAGTGAATCTCAGTGCAAATAATATAATGACAAATTTTCGGAAAGCGTTTCCCTAATGCTACAGGTATTTCTTATCCATAAATTTCAACAAATATGAAGTCTGGTTAAAGTGAAAGGTTTCATTGATAATCCCGATCTCTTGGCTCAATTTGATTGATAAGTATTTTATCAGAAGGGATTGTGTGGAGATTTTAGGAATTTCACTGGTTGGAATCATGAATCCATTGAAGCTAGACCACCATGGAAAACCTGGAAGCACTGGACGGCCGTTTCGTCCTAGTATGGGACTCCTCAGCAGTGCTTCCAGGTTTTCCATGGTGGTCTAGCTTCAATGGATTCATGATTTCAACCAGTGATAAGTATTTACCAAAATGAAAAAATAAACAAAATTATATGAATTACAGTTCAATGGTTGATCCTGAAAATCTTAATAGATTTCGATAGTACAAGTATTATTCTATGAGTGAATTTTAACATATTAACTACCTGATCACAATCCATGGTAAAGATTCATGGGTGTTGTCAAACTCCAGTCACAAACTTTTTTAACCAATCATGTAAAGAATTCTGTTCTAGAGATAAGAAACGTTTCCTCACTGCAACCAAACAAATGGTGTTCAAGGATAATATCACAAGTTACACGTTTATGTTGTAGTGAAGCAGAACACTGGTGAGGACAACCGAACGTATTAAACATCAACTTACGGAACTACTTAGTAAAATCCAACAACCATATATTAAATCGTTAATTTGCAAATTGTTCATCAATTGTTTCAAATGACTCAGAATCCCTTTGTTCTTGCATTTCCATAAACATTGCATTCTTTATTGTTCGATCTTCTCGTCTCTCTGCTGCCAGACATTCTGTTCAGCACTCACGTCATATACTACTTATGTCTACATAAGTAGCACACACCACACATGTAACCGGTGCCTATATAGATTCATCTCTTCAGGATTTCGAAGCCCATGTATACAACTTATAAAATAAGAGTTTTATGTGTCCTGGATAAACCATCATAGTTCACCAATCCAGTTCAAGAAAGACGTCTGATTTGGATTTTGCTTTAATGGAAAAGTTCTTGCCACATGATAATGAATAAAACCTAGGAGAAAGTATGGACTCATGGTCATATGAGAGCACTTTGGAGAAGAACTAACCATCTTTCCTCATGATAATCAAAAATCATCTAAGGATCATGGTCACTCGTGTTAGCGATCTAAGCACAAGAAAGATTCCATTTATCAACTAAATGATACATACCGGTTAAGAATCATATAACAAGTGTATTTTCGATAAGTGTTTTGCAGACAATAACCGATGTTTAGCTAGCATTAGATTTTATATTTTCTTCAAAATAATTCATGACAGAAATAGGTGTTAATGTTGATTGATTGATCACTGGGTGGTGATCAATGTCATGTGTATCAAGTCCTTCTTAGTGCAGATCGAATGCTACCGACCAAGTTGCAATGTGGTCACCTGTCTAGGTGACTCGACATTGCGTGCACTATGTTGAGATTAGATGGTGGTTGGATTACATCTCAATCCTACAGGAGGTCGGTAGCGGCCTGGATAGCTCAGTGACAACGTTTCTGACTGTGAAACTGGGTGATACGGGATTGAATCCTTCAGAGAGCAACAGTTCCCTGAAGATTACAGCTGCACCTTACTGACGAGTGCCAAGTAGCACGAAACCCGGGTCCAGGGTTTCCTGTCGACTACCTACAACCACCATCTAGGTGTTAATCTTGTTTTAATTTTTCAATTATCTTTCATATTATAATTTACATTGATTATTTTAGTTAGTAATTATTATTTCTACCAGTTTATGAAAATATAAAATTATTGAATAAAGTATTCAATAAAGTACCCTAAAATCTATATTGATTCATTAACTTTAGTTTGTTTTTTCTTTTACTTTCAATCTAATTATTTTCTTTAGGAGCATTCACATTCTTTTTCAATTGATCAACCTTTAGCTTCATCAACTCAACAACCTAATTCTGATATTATGATGAATTATTCTATTAATAATAATAATAATATTAATAATAATAATAACACTATACTAAATAAATTTAGTAATGATAATATTGAATACTTTTATGAAACAAAAGAATGGTATTTAAAATATTTTAGCCGTTATTGTGAAAAAGGTGAAAAACAATATCAACAACAAAATCTCAATCAAACATCTAATGAACAAAATAATCATAAAAAATATCAACAAAATGAAATGATGGAGGTGGAACAACAGAAACAACAATTATCATCATCATCATCATCACAACAACAACAACAAAATATATGGGAAACATGGACAGAAGAATTTGATATAAAGTTAAAGATACGTTTAGCTGGTTTTGGGCATTTATGTATTTTACGTGGTAAAATGATACTTGAATCATATTTTCTAATTTTATCAAAGAAATGGATGAAAGCAGTAATTGTCGGTAAATTTATTTTTTTTTAAAAAGCCGAAGTATTTTTTAATTTATAATATTTTGTTTTAACTGGATGAAGTAGTTTCATTCAATTTAGAAGTCTTCAATGTCACTTTATCTAACTCACAGTTATGTTCATCTGATTATTATAATTTAGAGGAGGAACATACCATTGCTCGTAATTGCTTATTACCAACAAAAAATAGTGTTCAGATGTTCTTTTTAAAGTTTCTGTCTCAACTAATTGTTTATTTTCATCGAAATCATGGAACCATATATGTTAGACCACCGTTGAAAACCCGGGATCCCTGGACAGCTGTATTGCCATAGTATGGGACCTCTCACCGGCGCACATTCAAGAACAAACTGACGGAATCGAACTTAGGACCTCCGATCTTGCTCATGAACCCTTAACCTTTAGACTACTGATCCGGCATCCCACAGTGTTAATGTCTGTGGTTATCTCACTAAAAGTAGTTATCACCAAGGTTATTTGAAATCAGGATGTATTTTACTACCGTTTTGTTCTAGTTTGATTCCGTCCTACAATACAAATGTTTTTTTCCATGTGAGATCTGCGTCATGAACTACCAGGTATTATTGTGAATATAATACTGTGCATCATTCCCTGCTCCACATTTTCAATTTCCAACGTATTGTTTAACTCTGTTATTCTTTATCCATTAAAAAGCCCTCCTCAAGGTTTCAATGTTTAACCAAATTAAGTTGAGAGAGAATAGTGATAATTTTCAATGATATTACAAGACTAAATTTGAGAAAAAGTATACATATTATAAAAACTGTAAATACTACTTATTTATCTTATTTCTATCTCATTTTTATTCACTATCTAGGTGGAGATGAAGTTATGATTCAAATAAGACAATCTAACAGAATGAAACGATTTCGAATGACATTTTTCAATGAAACCGATGCAAATGATTTTTTTATGAATTTATCGAAATTCGCTGCTACTAATACTACTACTAGTAATAATAATAATAATAATAATAATAATAATAATAATAATAATAATAATAATAATAATACTTTAGTAAATAACAATGAACTAATAAAAAACAAAAGTAATTTATCAACAGAAACTATATTAAATAAAATGTTAAATAATCCTGTCCAGTTACCAGAAAGTTGGTCTACTGAATGGCCAACTCAAAGTTTAGAAGGTCTTATACGATTATGTTTGATTGATCCAAATTTTCCAGGATTTGTAAATCAAATTGATGGTATTATGAAAAAATTTACATGTACAATGAGTGATTTATCATCACAGTGATGATGATAATCTTCTGTTTGTTTGTTTTTTTTTTTTGGTAAAAAGTTGATCAGAGAAAAAGATTTGTTTAATGTACTTCAATCATCACATTAAATTGGTCAAGTTTCTGTTTGTTTCAATTAATTCAATTGAACAGTATTATTATTTTTAAATTGTTGGTTTTAGTTAATAAAATCTTTAGTTGAACAGTTTCGGTTCTGATTTTAAAGACACTTTTCATTGGAAGAGATAGTAGCAATGAAGAAATATTGTACAGCTGTTTCGTCTTCAATCAGTCATAACCAATATAAAAACTACAACAAATGTATGTTTGCCTAAATTTGCCTTATTTACGTCATAATTTATTTCTGTCCCTATTATAACGTAAGCTCCATCAAATATCACGTGATAAAATCGCCAATTAAAATACCGACTAATTAGACCTTAGTACTGTGCCAAATCAATAACACGTTAACTAGTACGAACAGTCTGGAGTCAACTCTGAGTCCTTATTGATTCTTCTCGACTAGCCCTGTCCGTTTGAGTTCAGAGTTCAACCTCAGCTTCCACTGTATGAACCATGTATTTCAGGCATACACAGTTTATATACAAACAAATCAGACCACATCATACCATAGAATAAAAAAATAACAATCATACAAGATCAAGCCAAAAGTGGTTGAGAATTTGAGAGATTGTAATTAAGAGATTGAGAATAACTTACGAATAGTGAATCTTATAATAGTAGTCAATACGTCAAATGGAATCTTATGATAAAAGAAATATAGATATATATAATCTACTTATTTAACATAAATAAATAATATACTTTTAATATCCCATTGAGTAGGAAAATCAGATTTTCTGACGTTTCATCACTCAGTGTGAGTCACTTCTTCAGAACATCTAATTTTTCTAATCATTGGGATATTACAAATATATTATTTATTTATTATAACAATCTACCCAATGCTCAATTTATTGGAAATTATCAAATCAAACCATTTTAATGATACCTAGTTATTTAACAGTTATACAATATGAATATATATATATATATATATATATATATATATGGATATATCCCAGAAGTTACCCATAATTTATTCCTCCTTAGGATATCAACAAATATTATTGATCGTAATATTCAGTTTTATGGTTTCAAAGCAGATTTTTTCTCAGAAGGGGTTTTGTGGAGATTTTAGTAATTTCAATAGTTGAAATCATGAGTCAATTGAAGCTAGAGCACCATGGAAAATCTGGAAGCACTGAACGGCAGTTTGGTCCTAGTATGAAACTCCTCAGCAGTGCGCATCCACGATCCCGCCCCCCTCTTGAGATTCGTACCGAGGACCTATCAGTCTCGCGCCAGGCGCTTAACCAACTAGACCACTGAGCCGTCATCCAACGGTGTTAATGTCTAACTTCAACCAATCCACGAAGTTGCGCCACCGTACACCATTGTCTTCAGTGAGCTAATATCTCATAACAGACATGGTTGAACTCCCCTGGTAATGGCTTCTCATTAGAACTCCAAGAGTGTTTCTTGAAGTCAGTCACTAGTGAGCAGATTATTATTATCAGAAGGGGTTTTGTGGTGGTCTATCTTCAATTGATTCATGATTTCAACTAGATTTTTTGTATTTCAACCTTCTGTTAATATTATAAAATCTTTCTCATTACTTCTATAAAATTCAATATACCGCAAATACAATTCAAATTGAATTATACAGTAATTGTTATTTACCCAACTATAAACTCTAAATCAATATTTCCTTTTTGAATGTCATGGTAACCTTATAAACTGACATGAATAAGTATAATATGGTAAATTATCCTTCATAGGAATCATGATTATCAACATGATCATCATCATTATCATCATCATCATCAAAATTTGCCTTGTTTTCTCTGATATTTCTCATCTTTATACATTTAACAATGTGCATAAATTATCATAATTTTTTCTTAAAAGTTTATCTATGAACTTGATCATTGGTACTTGTATCATTTTTCTAGGTTGAATATGTTGTGCGTGTGCGTATGTGTGTGTGTTTCCTTTTTGTTTTAACGATTAAGGTAAATAAATCAATTCACATAATTTTTTATGATAATCATACACGTGATAAAGAACTTGTCAGAAGTAATAATGGGTGAAAAAGAATAACACTGATTAAATGTTATCAGTAGTTATTCTTATTTTCTCTTTCTGTTTCTATTTATTCACAATTACTCTTCTCTGCTTTTTTTTATTTGTTTGTATGTGTATTTAGCTATCAAACTTATTGTAATGATGATTTGATGGGTATCGATATGTTTATTCTGTTATAGATTTTTTTCGTAAAGAATAGAGAGGAAAGATTAAAACAGGTTGAATATCAGGATATATATATGGGATAAATTATTATAAATCAGTTATTTATAATAAATGAATTGTATTTAACAGTGGAATAGAAGACGGGAGTTTCGTCCTATTTGAGACTAAGCTGGATGTATCTTTTATCCCGTTGTTAATGTCCACATCAGGAATCGAACACACTACTTATTAATAAACGTTGAAAGCGTTATCAGCTGAGTTATTAAGTCAAGATCATCAATAAATTGTCTATATCATTAGTGATATATAACTTGTGACATAATGCTTACATCTAGGTAATCCACACAAGATGTACATGTGTCAAGAAAAACTGATGAATGCTCAATCCTGAATATCGATATGAGGATAACTCATATTTTTTTTTCCTATTAACGATATCAATACTCTATGTTTCTGCAAAAGTACTGTATACTTATTATTCTACTGCCCTGTTTATGTGACATAATATTTTCATCCTTTATCTAAATCTATCCATAAAATATTGAATACATTAATCGAAGTATGAATACTAAATAACAACTTTGAGCTAAACTTATTCTCATTTTAAGTATACTATGAACTTACTATGCAAAATATTGGTGAATAAATACAATTATAAGAAAAATCAATCTATCTCCTAGTATTAATAAATGTCCTCATTATAATTGTGTCCTATATATAAATATATATTTATTGACATAAACATTCTTTTTTTAAGTACAGTTATCTGCATAGAAGAAGTGAAACCGGAATAAATCTGTTATATTGGTCTAATGACTAAGTTAGAAAGACAACTGTATAAGTGTTAGTATTAATATGATGGACAATTTTAACGTAAATACATTTCGTAAATTTAATAATTCTAAGTAGTACAACATTATTTACATTCAATGTTTGTATTAAGACTACTTGATATAATAATACAAGATACTTATGAAGTAGAATATATATGAAAACTGACATTGAAATTATCATTTGGATGAGAGGGTGGGGAACAAAAACGTAAAATTCCAAACAAAATATACCATTTACAGAAAGAAAAAAAAACGGAAACTGTGTAAATCATGAACTATTTTTTACCAGCCAGTTAGTACTAGTAGAGTGAAAAATCGAAATAAAATACAATGGAAAACGTTGTATTCTTTAAATATAATACATATAATTATGAAGGAAATAAAAGGAAATTTTATTGAAATTAGAAAAGAAAATGCATAAAAATCAATTGATTTGTAAATACAAATCCATATTTGTACTAAGAGGTCATTGGCAAGACTATAATTGCTGGACGAACCAATGAAATCAATGAAAGAAAGCCTTGGATTTTGACATGAAACTCATTGTTCATTGTAGTTAAATAAGGGTGGATTTATACGCAACGTTTCCATGTAAATCTAATGTATCGCCCAGTGTAATAACGATCATGTCCACGTTAATGTAACAACAGAATTTGTCATGTTATAATGTATTTTTTATTAAATAACTAGATTATGCTGTGAATTTTGCCCTGGTTGTAAATTTTATTCGCTACGTCCGACTGTGTTACACTGTACGTTCATTGTATGCTCGAATGATATCCCAAGTTATAGTAAGTTTAATTACATCGTTGGATTTTTCTAAATAGACCGTCAGTGAATAATGGTACTAAAGAAAGGTTTGTTGTGCTGTAAACTATGTTTTTATGAGCGAGTGACTGTTGTCTTTAGTCTCAAAACAATATTCTTTATCTTCTGTTAGGTAAATTTGACAGGCCTGCAGTTCGTGTTTTGGGTTTATCGGCTTAATCATTTACATTTCACTACTTTAAGTAATATGTCTGTGCAAATGAAACAATAATTATGACACTTGCTTAGTTTAGTATTCTTGGTTGTATAGCCAAGACGTCGTATAATTTTGTTTAGTCGATAGAATTATAGTATACTTAAGTATAGTGCTTGAAGCATGTGGTGAAACAGATCAGCTTTGTAAGTAGAGCTGCCTGTTTTTAATGAGTATACTGATTCAGATCAGTCTGTTTGGAAATGTGGAAAAAAAGATGCCTTTGATGCTGTTGCTGTCATACATTATAAGATAGCTTAAAGTATGTTTGGTGTTTATTTGTAGACTGTACATCTAGCACTGAACATGTTTTAAGATCACTGTCATTAAATAATTTTCTCAGTGTTAACATCGGTAGCAGGATAGCAAGTGTCTATGCTTTTACTTGCCTGCAAAACAGCAGTATATAGTCCTAGAAGAGGAGTGTTCTGTCTTAATTAAGTGCAGCTGACTGTGAACAAGTGTTAAAAATATTTTTGACAACTGGGACTTTTAGTTTGAATACTTAAATGGGAGCAAAATAATAGCTGTACAATACTGTACTAATTACATGCTCTGCTTTGCACAAGTTGTAGTAGCTGACTTCATCGTGAATATGTTGAGATGCGTTTGCTGCGAACACTAATTATTCGTCGGATCTGATTAAACTTTACAACTCATTGTTCACGGACAAGTTGGCATAAGTACTGTTTCATTGTTGGATTGTGGGTCTTCTTACACATAGCTCTACACACGTGGAATGAGCATAAATCTATGTGGGCAGTATGGTGGGTTGTTTCCACAGAAAATATGATGGATCTTACACAATCCATCACAAACGTTTCAGTCTTACTAGTATTATTCATGATCATTTTGAAATGACCCATTATCCATAGTACATCTACATTCTTCTCTTTTTTTTCCAAGCAAACATTACAGACACTCCACTCCCGAAACAAGCTGAGAGAGTTTATAACTAAAGATACTTGATAAACAGAACATTTTTAATTACTTTCTCCTGTTAGTGTTGTATGTTAAATCCAGGTAAACAACTTCAGGAAATCGCCTGTACGTTTCAATTTGCTTATACGTACTAAATGCTATTCTGGTGACCTGATTAGCCATAACACCATAAGAAACAAACACTTTCCCACTGTTGCGTAACATTGAAAGTATGTCGCTGAAACTTCCACAACCTAAAACAACCTAGATCTATGGGATAAACTTACGTTCGACAACTTTATATTTTAAATTATTGACATATTACACGGTAATCGTCTGTCCAAAATGATCTACATACTTAACTATTTCAT